GAGCGAGATCTGGGAGAGTGGCGAGCGAGATCTGGGAGAGGGGAGAGAATGGAACGAAAATATATGTATATATACAATTTTCTCTCGCTTTATACAAACACAAACGCATTTTATACATTTGCGTTTTTGTATAAAGTGAGAGAGGCGAGCGAGACTGCCACCAAACGAGAGTGGCGAGCGAGATTCCACCAGGGAGAGTGGCGAAAATAGCAATAGTTTGCTATAGGGTACAATTAAATCAAAGTATATTTATAGTATTTAATTGAAATTAATAGTTTGCTATTATATACAATTTTCCCTTAAATATAATGTATTCATCTCAGTACGAAAAAAATAAGGAAAAAGATACAATTGATTTTGTTTGATTTTAACTAAAAAAAAAACTGAAATCAAAACCAAATCAAAAAAACATTATATTTATAAGTATAAATTATTTACTATAATGTAATTTGTAAGTCTTTCTTAAACTTATTCATAATTATTTTTTCTTAACATATTATTTTAAGTTTGAACTTACAATTTTGTGGGATACAATAAATCTTTATAGAATTATAACTCATAATTTAGTAACTCAAAAACACTCAAATCAAACCATGTTGTATCTTATTAATTAAAAAAATGGTACTTGTTTTATAGGTTATAATTATCTTGATTGTTGATCATGACACTTCGCATAATAATAATGTCACTACTTATTTTATTTTTTAATTTTCTTTGGAAGAATCATTTAATTATTGTATTTTACTATAACAAAGAAATATATTTTGATATATTTTGTGTTGTGGAAACTTTACCAGAAAAGATCCGAAAAAATCAAACCAAACATAAAAAGAAAAAGATGGACTCTTATTGATTTGATTTATGTTGAAAAAATCGATATAATTAATTTGATTTGATAAATTAAAAATCGAACTAAACAGACTTAAGCACACCCTTAAGTTTAGATCTTTCAATATCTCCTTTAATTTAGTTACTATTTTAATTAAGATTTTGTGATAATATATGTTCATAAATTATAAGTTAACTTTAAGCCTAACGTACGGTCGATAATGATGGACAAATCCCTCTTGTAACACCATGTTGCTTATATATAATCAATATTAGTGTTTTGTGCTAATCCTACTTAAAGCCTAACCATATAGATCCTCACCAAATGGCTACTTCTAGTACTAGCAACTCTATAATCAACTATAGATTTTTCTAATCACAATTATATTAATTATAGCATATGGTCCATATTTAAAGTTAATACAATAACGAAAATAACATAGGAGTCGACAAATTTAAATTTGTGATACTGCATTTTTTTTCTGTCCTATCATCACTTCTACGAGGTAGGGGTATGATCTGCATACACTCTATCTTCTTCAGTGTCCACTCTTGGAATTCCACTGAATATGTTGTTATTGTTATTGTTGATCTAAAATGGGTAGTGCGTATGCAGTCTAACTCCTATTTTGAGTAAGCAGGGAATAATTGTATTCGATAGACCCTCAACTCAAGTAAAGCATATCAACCTGTATCAAATATCTGTAAATCTTACTTGATATAATTAGTATGATAGAAAGAAACATATTTTAGCTTTTTTCTTCTTTGATGTCTGATATTCATATTGTGTTTCGATTAAATTTGAATTCGCGCCAAAAAGATTCGAGTGTTAAGCAACCTCTAACAAAACACAACAACATACCCCAAGGTACATCTGATTAAGAATGAAAAAAATACTTATCAATGTATTAAGAGGCGGGTATGAGGCGAGACATTTTACACAACACAGGCGAAGGTGTAAGCTTCGAAACATGGGGCGTAAGTCTCATATATCTTCAATTTTACAGTTTTATTACTAATTAGAAAATAAACAAAAGTAAAATTTTCATATCTACAAATAAATTCAAATAAATCACCAATAAAATATAAAAAGTAATTATAATTATTATTGGAGGAAGAGGACAACACAAAATGATAATAATCGAAATAATCTTTAAAATATAATTATTGTGTACTTCATCATGATCAGGGGCGGAGCTACACCTTAGCATGAGTGGTCAGATGAACAACCTTCGTTGATTTTTTTTTGCGAGTATATATGTTAAATATCGATATTTTTGGATAAAATACTAATTGTTGAACAACCTTGACATACTAAAGAAAGATATCTCAATGGTTAAGGTTTGTTAAAAGTTGCCTCAAGGGGATTGGGTTTGAGCCTAGACTAAGGCGTTTTGTTTAAATTTTTTAGTTTCGTTTTTTTTAAGAGAACAAAAGTGACTTTTCAATCTTTCTAATCTGACCAACAATGTTTAATTTTTTTTACTTATCCTAAAATTTGAACACCCTTGACGAAAATCCTGACTCTGCCACTTTCATCATTGATAGTGTTAGAGCATTGACAAAAAATGAATAATCATTGTTCGAAAATATGAAATTACTCATATTCGATCTAATCATTGTTCGAAAATATGAAATTACTCATATTTAAACTATTTTTAGAATTGAAATTAATTTTTTTGGAAGGTAATTAGTTATGTTGGTTGCATAATTTTGAATGACCGTGGAAGTTGGTAATCATGTATTTTAAGGAAGATGATATTTGTTTGATAGATTAAATTTTACGTTTAACAAGTTTTAACTTTTGACATTAAATTTTTAATCGATTACATAATAGTATTTGGAGTTGTATCATAGACAATATTATTTTTATTAACAAGTAACCCAAATGGTTCTTTTGATTTTTCAATCTAAAAGTGAACGTTGAAATCTTGAATTGACCCTTTGAATAAAAATGGGGAACTTTCACATATAGCCACTCAAAAATAGCCTAATTAATCTCCATAGCTATAGTTTGATAATTACAATTCGTACCTACATGTTATATGGAGGAGAGAGGCGAGCGAGACTAGGAGAGAGAGGAGAGAGGCGAGAGAGGGGGTAAAGAGTGGGAGAAAGGTGAATTGTATATGTATATAGGTTAGATAATTGTATATTATACATATGTATTTGTATATATGGCAAGCGAAATTGGGAGAGGGAGGATAGAGGCGAGCGAGAGAGGGCAGGGAATGGGAGAGAGGTGAATTTTATATGTATATAGGTTAGATAATTGTATATTATACATATGCATTTGTATATATGGCAAGCGAGATTGGGAGAGGGAGGAGAGAGGAGAGCGAGATAGGGAGAGGGAGGAGAGAGGCGAGCAAGATTAGGAGAGGGAGGCGAGAGGCGAGCGAGATTGGGAGAGAGTGGAGAGAGGCGAGCAAGAGAAAGCAGAGAGTGGGAGAGAGGTGAATTGTATATGTATATAGGTTAGATAATTGTATATTATACATATGTATTTGTATATTCTAGCGAATTATACATATACAAACTCGAAGTCAGCCCGCGTAATTAATGTATAATGTTAGTCGTGAGTGGTAATTATAGCAAACTATAGCTATGATGAGTAATTAAGTAATATAAGTTTGCTTAACCGCGTAATTTTCCCAATAAAAAGTGAATCTTGAATTGACTCTTTGAATAAAAGTTGAATAATGAATTTTGAAATAATTAAGACAAATCTTAAATTGAAACTTGAATCAAATTAAAAGAATATTTGAACGTTGGATTTATGATTGAACTTTGAAGTTAGAATTTAGGGTTCAATTTTGAACTTAAAATTAGAAAAGAGACAACTCTAACTTGATGCCAATTATTCTTTACAAAAAAATTCTTTCAAATTGTTCAAGATTAAGTAGAATGACGTTACAATTTGATTTCTAAGATAATGAAAACACCAAGTATTTACATGTAGATTACATTAGTTGCATAAAGTCATAAGTTGATGAGTGAATTTTGAATTTTGAATTTTGAATTGACCCTTTATATAAAAGTTGAATCTTGAATTTTGGAACAACACAAATCTTAAATAGAAACTTGAATTAAATTAAATGATTATTTGAACTTTGAGGTTAGAATTCAAATTTGCACTTAGAATTGAAAAAAGATAATTCTAACTTAAAGCCAATTCAGTTATACAACTCTAACTTAAAAATGTTGAGTTATTTAATCTATTGTTTAATAAATTCAAATTTTATGATCTCTGTGTATATGGGGCGTAGTTGGATCTATGACTAATTTTGGTTGAATGAGGTTGAGGCATAAATTTGTAGAAGGTGTTAATGATTTTATAGACTATACTAGAACCTTTTCAACTTAATGGATTGGTCAAGTGTCCTTGTAAAAAACGTCAATGTATGAATTATGAAAAATCAGAGATTGTTGAGTTCACATTTTCTGTATCTTTTTCAATCTCTCTTTTACGGTTTTTTTTAGTAGTAAATAATTTTAGCATAACTAATGTAATAATAAATAATATCAACATCTCTAGTGTCAATACTTCTAATACATTCTATTCAACGCTATTTTTGTAAACTCTATGAAACGGCCTCCTAAAGATGCTACCTTCCCAAATCCCACTTTTGAGATATAGTGGGTATATTTGATAGCTGGTTAGAATAATACAGGTATTAGTAATGTGAGAATTAATTATAAGTGAATCTATATATTATTTAATACATGGATTAGTTATCCTGTATAAAATAATATATAAATTCCCTAATAACGTATACATGTATTAGTTATGCAGGTTTCTAAATTGTCAAAACGTCGTATTAATTTTATACTTTAATAACTTATTTTTCTTATCTACCTATAAAACGTCATATATAACTTTTAGGAAAATTAATACCTGAATAACTTATTTCTTATCCAACTACCAAACGACCGCCACTTGGACATCACTAATGCTGGGTGAGAGATATAAAAGGGAGACAATCGACATGAATTCTCCCTCATATCACTAACACTTACATTAATCAATTCTCCCCTCTTAAAATCACCATATATATATATATCAAGAAAACTACACTACCTTACTTCAAAAATGGCAACACTTCCAGCAAGAAACTAAGTAACAATGAAGGAAATGATACACACGATGATCGAAAAGTGTCCATTATCCATCGCCATTGAAGTAAAAAAGCTCGAAAATTGTTCGTAGATATGAAGAAGATGAACCAGCAAATATAATAGTACTACTATATACACAGAATAACGAATAACAAATATATATACCTATTATCTGTTCCACTTTCATCAGCCCACCTTCTACTTCTCTGTTTTTTTTTCCGTACTATTCTCTGCCAAAGCAACGATCCATAAATAATCTTTCGTATTTTACTGTGCATATAAATAGTTGCTTAATTTATCATCATCATTATCGTTATCGTTATCATTATCATCTACTTTATGAGAAAATTATCATTTTTATCAACAACAACGAGTACTAATCATTCTAACACGTTGTTTTTCTTCAAACCAAAAAACATTTTCTTCTTCCCCAAATGGACTCGTAATGTGGTTATATCAGCAACCAGTAGTAATGTACCACGACGATCCAAAAAGATCGTCGTGATAATGGGTGCTACTGGTTGTGGAAAATCAAAACTCTCTATCGACCTTGCCACTCATTTCTTCCCATCTATCGAAGTCATTAACTCCGATAAAATCCAAGTTTACAATGGTTTAGAAATCACTACAAACAAAATTTCAATGACTGAACGCTGCGGTATCCACCATCATCTTCTCGGAGAGTTCAAACCTACTGAATCACACCCGGAGTTTTCCCCTTCCGATTTCCGATCAGCTGGAGATTTCAGAATCAACGAAATCGTTAATCGAGGGAAAATCCCTTTTATTGTAGGTGGGTCTAACTCATTCATCTATGCTCTGTTAGTAAAACAATTCGATTCAGGATTCGACATTTTCGAATCGTTAAATCCGGTGATTAACGAGCTTCGTTACCAGTGTTGCTTCATCTGGGTTGATGCCATAGCACCTGTATTGAATCAGTATTTAGATAAACGAGTCGATGAAATGCTCGATTCGGAGATGTTCGAAGAGCTAAAAGAGTATTTCGAGAAAGAGGGGTTTTCCGATTCCAGTTCCGACGGGATCCGGAAGGCAATAGGAGTACCGGAGTTCGAGAAATACTTTAAAGGGAAGATATCATACGAAGAAGCAGCCATGGAGATAAAGGAGAACACAAGGGTATTAGCAGAAATACAGGTGAAGAAGATCATGCGGCTGAGAGAAGGTGGATGGAACATACAAAGAGTGGATGCCACAGCGACGTTAACGGCGAAAATGGGGTCGGAAAAAATAGCCGGCGGCGAGAATCCGGCGAGGAAAATTTGGGAAGAACAGGTACTGGAACCAAGTGCCAAGATTGTGAAGCAGTTCTTGTTGGAGTAGGTCATTTTCCAGCTATTTCCAGCTCTCAATTTTTTCAATTATTTTTTAATTTCATCTTAGTTTTAATTTATTTTGTTTTTTTTTAAATATAGGACGTAAATTGAGTAAGAGGGCTGGATCAATTAAAGTCAAACTATACTATGAATCGAATTATTACAACAGATTATCAAGTAGTTATAGCGAAATATTTTATTGACAATCATTTTTGGGGTTAGCTACGAGCAAAGTAGTTTGTTCGTAGCTAACATAGGGAGAGGGGAAGCAAGAAAAAACAGTCTTATTTATTTGATTTTGTTATGATGAATTTTTAGGATTACTTTGGATTTTCAAAATTTTTAAATTTTATTTCTCATATCAATCCATAACATAAAGAGTTTATTTGGGTTATAAGTTAAAAGGTATGTTTGTCCTCCATTTTTGTATGCATTAAGAATAGGTGTGATGTGTTGATAAATGGGTACAAAGTAGTACTTAGCTTTTTCTTCTATGTAAAGCTAAATGGTTTTGTGTTTTCTCACTCAATTGTTTGAATTGGTACAAATAATTAGATACAAAATGATGTTCGACCATGTTAGAATAAACACGGAGCAAGAACAGTGGACTGTGTATTTTATTGCTATGAAAAAAATCATTGAATTTGCTATTAAAAGAATCGTTTCAAGTCAAACTTTAAATCTCTCGAAGACAAAACATTATTCAATCAACTAAATGCCCTAACTATGTGTCAAAATTATCATTAAGGGCAACTCCGATTCAATAGGTGGATGACAAAGTATTTTTATTTCGTAAAATTAATGTGAGAGAAAAACTATATTGGGTATCAAGAGAGATAGAAGTAAGTCGAAGAAGTCTTAGAAAATGGTGATTATACAAAATATAACACACCTACAGCTTACGGAGGACATTATCTTAGACAGAAAAAAACATGAAAATTAAGGATTAAGCTAGAATGTTAGTAGGTAGTCAAGAGTTGTCAAGTTCTCTTATCAATATATGTTACTTATTTCTTTTGCTTCAGTTATCATATTATTTATTATTGCTACATATTCTTTTCTTAATTGTTTAGAACATAGGTTCTTTGCTATTATATTTGTTTTACATACTTGATTTTTGATATATACTTCTTCAAATCGAGAATATATCAGAAATATTTTTCTACTCTCACAAGATAAAGGAATACAATCGGTACATAAGTGGAATTTTTACGATTTTTTCCAAACTAGAAACAAATTCCCTTTAGAATATGAAGAGATTTTCATTTTTCATTTTTTGAGTCTATTAAAACTATATATTAATCAAGTAATATATATTTTTTAAATTTTTTGAAGGAGGTATTAAAGGATTTTCTGACGTTTGACCAAAAAGTGAAGTAACTTTATATAATGAACTGAAATTCTTGGATTTTAATTGGGACCCACCCATTTTTCATTCTAATTTGTGGGACATCTGACAAATAGGACTGTCCTTCATACCAATCTTCCCAACAAGGATAACCAATGCAAATGGGACAAAAAAAATAATTATTCTAATATTTATTTTCAAAATATTTTAGGAGTAATTTATATTTATATTGAGAAAATGGTCAAATGGCCCCTTAAACTATGATCGAATTTTTAACTACACATTTCTTCTTCACAGAAGTCCTACCACCCCCTAAACTGTTTAAAATTTAAAAAATTATCCCCTTAAAATGTCACAACCACATTTATATTGTCAGGTGATATGCATGCGTTTGACAGCTGGAAATTTTATTTAAAACTTTATTTTTATTTCTATTTTTTCTCTTTTTAATTTATTATTCTAAAAACTATGCTAAAGGTCAAAAGGTTGAAATTTGTAGATTTGTATCTCGGATCTTCATATATTGAAACTTTTTTATTGTAATGTTGATTGCTAATTGTTTGAAGTTGAAAACAATGGGTTAATTGAGTTTATATATAGCTGCAATTTTTGGATCTGAAGCATTGATATGAATTTTGTGAATCTATATTCTTACATTAGGAGAAATTGAGTTCGTCAATGGTTCGAAGAATATCATATGGCTGAAAATCGAAGCTAAAGGTTGAAACTTTGAAGCACAACATGAAATCACCATTAATGTTAGTTTATAAGCTTGAGTTCTAATTTTGACCTACTACATACGAGCTCCGTTTTGAATGGGTAATAAATCAAAAGAATCGAAATGTTGAGATAAGCTTATATTTAAAATCTGAGGCAATTTGGAGAATATTTAGGGTGGTTTTGCATCAAATTTTCATAGCAATCATACAAAGAAGATGAAGAACATGAACTGCATTTTTTCAGATTTGCAAGAAAATTACAAGTTGCTAAATCAGTTGAGAAGTATTATTTGAAGCTGAAATAAAATTTATCTATTTGTCTGAGACTTAAAGAAATTTTTTTAAATTGCCATCAAAACTAGCTTCGAACCGGAGAGAAATCAAATCCCAAATATTGCAAGCGCATACAAAAAAATTTTGTGGGTCTTTTGGGTATTGAATATAGGATCAAGAATTTTCCTTGTATTGAAAGTGTAATCGAAGAAAATCAGTTGAGTGTCACTGTATTAAGCTTAAACTTGTTTTGATTTGAAAGATTTTGGGTCTGTAGTTTCTGATTGTGGAGAAAAGGATGAAATTATTATCTACGATTTGTGGTGTATTGATTAATATAATAACGACGGTGATTTCAAAATGGTGAGAAGTGGTGTAATTGGATGGCTACACTGATGCTCTACTAAGTTGCTATGGAGAAGAAACCAAATTAGAAGTAAAAAAAAATTTAAAAAAAATAAAATGCATATATTTATGAAAAAATATTAAAAGTAATTTTTTTTTTATCTTTACTCTCTCAAGAAGAGTGCAATACACTCACTTTGCCATGTAGGCATTTAGAGTGGTAATAATTTTAGTTTTAAACAGTTTAGGGGGTGATAGGACTTCCGTAAAGAATAAGTGTGTAGTTGAGAAATCGATCATAGCTTAAGGGGACATTTGACCATTTTCTCAATTTATATTTGAAAATCTTTGCAATTTATACCTAAAAGGATAAAAAAAAATTAGTGCGGATTCATCTATATTTTCTATCCGTATTGTCTTAGTTTATGTGACACTTTTAACTTTTCGTGATTGAAACTTTTTAACTTTGACCATATATTTGGATATAACTTTTTTGATTTCTGGGATGTAATTCTAGTCTTAATTCTCGACATTTATCTATCTTCAACCCAAGATTTTGGGCTCTTGTTACTCTGTTTCAATTTATTTATATTGTTTTGACTTAACTTATTATCGTGATTCATGCAGATGATCGCACATTTTTATTGTTGTTACGGGTTTATGAATATAGCCGTTAGTTTGTTATTGCTTTGGTATTTATTGTCATGTTTCTCCCACCGTCTTTTTTTCATGTTATTATTGTTTTAATTTGTTTAAGCTGAAAATTTGTTCGAATAATCGCATATACTCTATCTTCTTCAGATTCTACTTCGTGAGATTTCACTAAATATATTATAATCGTTGTGGTCTTATATTGAACATGCATTAAAACGTAATCTTGGTGATTTGACGTACCAACAAGATGTCACTAAACAAAATATAAGTGATATGGGTTTAATTTTTTAAGATTCTAATATTTAATTTAATATTTATAATGATAAATTTATATTTACTCTTTATTGTAATTTTAATGATTTTTTTATATATAAACTTATATTTTATATCAAATGTACTGAATTCATATAATTAAGCTCAATACCAATAAGTTACATCCATTCTTGTAAAAAGAGACAAGAAAATTAACCCAAATATAAATTATCATATTGGCTTGAGTTTCTCCTTGTCTTTCTTCTAATTAATTAGATTATTTAATTAATTAAATTTTTATTAATATTAAAACAGAAAAAATATTTCATTCATCTAAATAAGAATTTTGGGAAATATAGACAAGAGGGAATGGTGAGGAGTCATATTTGTATCATATATACTCTCATTGTTTCAATTATGCACCGATATTTGATTAGATACGAAAATTAAGGGGGAAAAAAGACTTTTAAAATTTATAATCTTAAACATGTCATAATATCCAAGTTACAACAAAAATAGGCAAATATTTTTTTTCTCGAAGAAAACAAGTTGCTGAAAGATAAGGAAAATTATTTTCTTAATGGAAGTTGGGAAAACAAGTTGTACAAGTAATATGCCACATCAATTGTGTGTTCCTCACATCCTCCAACACACCTCATCTTCACCTCCATTCCCGTAGTCTCATCCCTTACCCCCACCCCCACCACCCAATCTCTAGTTCTTATAGTATTTGACTAGATTATATATAACTGATTTTATGATAATATTTTCTGTATACCTGTCGAGTAGACAAGAAAATAAATTTAAAAATCAACTTATGTTTCTAGAAAATATTTTTCTTTGTACCAAATACACCCCAAGCTTAAAGCTAATTATTTATCAACATAAATAAAAAAGAATGTCATAAGTCTTTAATCTAAAAATGTACACATATGATTGTTACTTTTAGAAAGACAATTTGAATGCTAGATAAGTTTAGCTGTTGAGACAATTGTCACAATGCCAGTCATGGCTTAGGAGGGACAGCTAAATGAACCAAAAAACTAGTGAAACATCAATTAAAAAGCATAATGGAAACTTCATTTTCTTAGTACAAATTGCTATTCAATTCTTATTTGAGTCCCAACTTCTTGTAGTTAACATCTGGTAAATGTGGGGACCTAGATCTACTTGAAAGGTCTTCATCACATTGCTATATTAAAAAAGGTGTATATGCTATGGTTTGCTTAGCCCTTAGGCCTCAATTCACAACAATTCTAAGACTGACATGTCGATCCTCCTGTATTAAGTAGATGCAGAATTTGGTTGACTTGAAAAGTATTATTACTTGTTAACCCTCTCAATATAATCGATTTGAAGGAGGTACAACGCCCATTCTACTACCTCCACCCTACCGTCCTCATTCAATATGATCCACCGACTCTAAAATTGAATTATCGTGAAATAGTTAGAGTTTCTAGTTTCAATTTTTCAAAGATTTTTATATAAGCTTATTTGATGAGAGTTCAAAGTAGTCCGACCATTAGGATTTAGATTTCGGAGGTGCTGGTCTAGCAACATATAGTGAAGGGTGGTCGGTTGGACACTTTTTCTTAAAATTCTTAAATTTTGTTCCAAAAAAAGTATTTTTTTTTTGTACTTTGTATGGCTGGCTATAGCTTAAATAGGTAAGACATGATCTAATCATAGAGCATATAGAAGAAGTAATGTATTTATTGGGTTCCAATTGATAGAGTAAGGACCTATATTATCCTATAACTTTAGCCAGCTCATTTAGTAGAGATTCTTTATTTAAGAAATGGACATTTATATATGCAATTGAATTGTTACATTTCAACAACCCTTC